TACTCTCTTTAAATATAAAATTATTAAAAACACATTCTTTCTCTCTTCAAAAATATCAACTATTTGATACTTTTGATACTTTCTCTCTCCAAAAATATCCATTATCTCTTCTCTTTACTCAAATTTATTAATTTTATATTTCAATACACCATATTATTTCAACCAAAAATACTTTCTTTCTTCTTTTTACTCAAATTTTAATAATTTTATATTTAATGATATCCACCAAAATTCACCAATACGGATGCCTTAAGATCTAACCATAATTTGCTTCTTCTTCCTCTTCCTCTTCCTCCGCCGGTCGATATGTCCGTCAAAACCTGGTCATGTTTCTACCGTAAGATATCTCTCTCTCTCTCTTGTTCAAAATAGTTTGTAGATTTCGTCTGATGTAATTGTTGATGGATCTGATTGTTTTCTTCTTCTTTTTTACCGTTTGGTTGTCGGAAACCTGCAGGCACATTCGTTTGCTGGGACATCAACGATTACCCGCCCCCAAAAGAGCTGAATCCTCATCGGATTTATGATACTATCTTATCATCTACTCAACATGTGGGTTTTTATTTTCACTCGGAAATCCGGGGTTATTGTAATGAGAGTACGGTAAATTTCGCTATGTTTAAGCTGCGAATGTTAGAAGATTCCGGAATGCTCATCTGTTATGCAGGTAAATTCCTATACGTAAAACCTCCTTCTTCTTTTTGGGTTACTTATACAACGTGTGTTTGGTTTGTAATCTGCATCATTACAGAGAAGAAACTTGCAAGGGTTAATAGAATGTTATTCGACCTGGTTTTATCGGCACTCAACACTCGTGAACCACAAAATTTCCTCGTAATCACAGCAATCTCAGAACACACGGAGTATCTCATTCGTGGTCTTCTTTCTTTGAAAGCAAGAGGTTACCCTGTTTACTTAGCCCTGCCTAAGATGCATATACCAAAACGTGTTACTGGAATCAAATCAATAACTCGTAGAAATGTTCCATTCTTGAAACTCACTCACGCTGCATCGGGTCACAATAAAATCCAAGTATGGTTATGTTCAAAACTCTTTGAACAACACA